AACAATTTTTTTTGTTGTTGTTGTTTTTTTTTTTTTTTTTTTTTGTTTCTATAGAATCTTAGAAATTGAAATTAAGATTATTTGGTCAGTTTTGAAATGCGAAGGTCATTGGTTGGGTTTGTGTAGCCATCAAATTTAACTTGTATGGAGATGAAACAAAGAAATTGCCTTTTTGGTGTCTTAATTGTATAAGGTACTTGCAATATATTTTTTATTTTTTAATTTTTTTTTTCCCAGGTCTGAGTGGATACAATTGGAAAAACTAGGGAAAGTTGAATTTTGTGAAGAAGCTATTTGTAGTACTTTTGTAATCGACACATATATTAGGTTCTTCTGTTGGATGGCCTGGTATTCTTAGGGAAAATGTTTTTTTTTTCAAATTTGAGCCCCCCTAAATCCCCCGAATCAGATAAAAGAGAAGAGAGAAAGAGAAGAGAGGGGAAGAGGAGGAAGAGATGGCAGCCCCTCCGCCCGCCATCGCCTCCGCCCGATCGTCGCCCCGCCGTCGCCTTGTCGCAGCCTCGCCGTCGCCTCCGCCTCTACCTCGCAGCCCTCGCCTCTGCCCCTTGCCTCTGCCTCCGCCTCCGCCTCCAGTCCAGTTCTTTTTCTTCTTTCTCCTTCTCTCATTCTTTTCTTCCTCCCTCTCTTCTTTTTCCTCCTTCTTCCTTCTCTTCTTCTGAAAAAAAAAAAAAAATCAAAAACGATGAAAACGACGTCATTTTTGAATTCGGGGGGGATTCGGGAGCTCAAATTCGAGCTATTAATCACTTCATCAAATAATCTCTTGAGGAGAAGTTATTTGGTGGTTATGTGATATAACATGGTAATTTAGTAATTTTTAGCAATTTAGGTTTCATTTGGGAATAGATTATTTTAGTATTTTTTAGTTAAAATATGAGATAAAAAAATTATGTTTGAAATGACTTTTTAATTTTTTACAAAAAAATGTGCAAAAGTAAAGAGAAACGAGAATCTTTGACTTTTTAGTATAAGTTATAGACTTTTTGATTTTTTTAATAATTTTTTCACTTTTAGACTAAAACAAGCAGTTCTCAAACGAGGCCTTAATCACCCAGATTTTTCTAAGTAGTTATGTGTATAGTATAAAATTCATAAGTAAAATAAATTTAAATTATAAGATAATAATTCTAAATAATTTTTGAATAGTTAAATTAAGGGGTTGTTTGGCATATATTAAAAAAAATTTTAATCTATTTTGAGTCACATCATTCTCTCTACTTTTTTATACATTTTTTCAAAAAAAAAAAGAAGTTAAAAAGTCAATTTTTAACCAACTTCCTAAAACAATCCTAAATAAATCATTCACTTTTGATAAACAAACACAATAAAATAAAATAATTACGATTATTAGATCGATCTCATTTTTTGATGATACATATTGAAAGTCTTACAAAATAAACAATTAAAATTTTTGAAACAAAACACTTAGCCCACAGGCCCTTCAGTCGTCTCTAATTCAAAAACTTAAGAAAAACTCAATCTTCAATAAAATAATTGGTGAGATTTTTTCTTCTTTTTTTTTCTTCTTTTTTTAAAAAAAAAAAAAATTTTTTTGGGGTTTTTTTTTTTTTTTTTTTTTTTTTTTTTTTTTACACAACATATTTGAATTGAATGGAGTAAAAATATATTTTTTTTCTTTTTTGGGGTTGCAAGGATGGAGGACCTGAATGGTTTTGCCAACATTGATGGGGGTGGCTTCAGCGTAGACAAGGTCCCCAAGCTCAGCTCGTTTCAGATGGTTAATGCTGAGGTGAATACCAGCCACCCATTGCAGCCCCGATGCCATGTGTGCTCCAATGCTTGCCATTGACTCTGCTATGAGCGCCGACACCCCTCCATGTAACACCTTGAATGGCTACTAACATAATTGTAATTATCAGTAAATTAAAAGAACAAAGATGGGAAAGTAAATCAATTCCAATGCATAATTGTTGCCCAACATCATTCAAGAATTAAATGCAGGACTCAAAATTAAAAGAAAAAAGAGAAACCTGACAAGACTTGTGGGTGACTTGAAGGCGGCCAGTAACCTTGTCTGGCGACAAGTCTTGAATCTCAAAGCCAATTGCATGAAGGGGAAAATCCAGAGCCTCCGTCTTTGATGGTGGTGGTGGTGGTGGCGATTGAAACTCCATCTTTGGGATTGGTTAAAATTAAGAAAAGAAGTACTATCAAGTATGGAAATGGAAATTTTCCAATCAACAAATATATATATGTGTGGGTGGGTGGGTGGATGGGTGTGTCTCCAGTAGCAAAACTCAATTGTAGGAAATATAGTGGGGAATCATGTTGCTAATTGTCAAGATTAGATTAGATGAGATGAGATAAGATGAGGAGAGGATATTTTATTGTGTGTTTTTATAGGGCGTATGCTTCACATGGTGTGACTGATTGACATTTTTTAACATCTAACAAGTGTGGGTGTGGAAAGTGATAAGTGAAGAAAAGAGGGTTTGTTAAATGCACTTCTTTTCCTATTCTAACAACTCGTTCTCTCTCTCACTACTTTGCAATTATTATTCAAATTGGATTGAATGGTAGAAAGTGTTCCACGACGAACACAAGTAACAACAACGATGCAAGGTGTAGAGTACATACCATGCAATACACATTCAATTGGGGTTGTTGGGGTTGGTAACTTTCCTCCTCCACACCTTTTACAGAAGTTGGCTCCAAACCTCCATCTGCTTAATACATGTTCTTTATGATCCATCACTTAACAATAACGATAAACCACAAATACTAATATCATAAAAATTAGTAGTAACAATAATATGTGGTAGCATTTAAGTCAACGAACCGTTATTGCTCATTAGTCATAATGGTCTTCTATGAATTTTATGTTTAAAGTTATATATTATTTTCCCTTTCATCAAAGACTTGCTCTCCTATATTATAATGTAATCTACCCTTTATTGACTCAACAATGCGTTCAGTAGATCTCCACTAACTGTCTGCAACACTGAAACTTGTTGGGTTGTCTTCTTCTCTTATGGATTTCATTCTAGATACCCTTTTCCTTTATTGTTGATTGATCTTCTTCTACTTTCAAATTTTCAATTGTTCAAATTTATATTCTTCATAGGTTCACTCATGCATTTTCATTGTTCATGCCAAAACCACTCCCAGATGAATTCCTTCAATTAGTACTCTTGAATCTTCACAAAGAACACCATGTTATTATTATGAGGCTAAACTATATCATCGATTTCCTCTAGTTCTTACCTTATTGTACTTTTAATGTCATCCTTCAACTTTTGTCTTTTTCATTTATGACATTTAACCTTATAAATTAAGCAAACATGTGGTGAGAAAAATTATAACCCCTATTTTGAGTCAAATCATTATTCAATTTAAGGTAAAATAAGTAAACATTCAGAGTCCATTTGGATTGGGTGATTTGGGAAGCAAAGAAAAGAAATGGATTTCTCTTGGTTCATATCACTTGTTTGGATAAGGAAAAGGGATAGAAATCAAGTGAAATGGGAAGAAATGGAGAGAAATGCATTCTCTTATAACCCTTATTTTGAATCTCTCTAAAAGTGGAGAGATTGGTAGAGAAAAGAAACAAACTACTTACAATTTTTTTACAATACCAAAATTGCCCCTTAGATATAGAAGAAATAAAAAGAATAAGACCTATTAAAGGTTATTTTAGTAATATAACATCAAACTGTAAAAATTTATGTATTATTGATTGATGTTTATTGATATTTACTGTCTATTACAAAATGGTTCCTTATATAGATGTAGGTGTAGTGGATGGTGTGTAGTGGATGGTGATAGTGGTGTAGTGGGTTAGGTTCAAGATAGGAGAGAAATCATAACATTTTCTCTTCTTTTGCTTCTCTCCTAACTTGAAATCGTATATTTTCTTCTCTCCCCTATAAGTTCCCAAACACAGTGTCAGTTACAGATAAGCCACAGCTTATACCAAATCACAAAAACTGATACAGTTGCTGAACATCCCACATCTTTCAGAAGAGTTGTTATTCAGAAATGTAATTCTTGACTCATTATCGATCCATGATACCCTTCCTCACCTTATCCTCACTGTAATTCTCATCAAACACTTCACATTCTTCCAATTTATCGAGGGCGGATAACGAAGGATAAAGCATGGAGCGAATGGGTGAAGAAATTGTCCTTCAAGTCTAAATGGTGTGGGTGACGCAATAAGCAATGCCTTCTCCAAGTGAAATAAAATTGTTTATATTGGTATGAAATTCATGTATTTAGACAAATTGCACAAGCAAGTACAAGGTTTTGAATCTACTCACCATTTTTTATTTGAGATTCCGCCTCTCAAAATCTTAACCTTAAAACAATCCCTTAAAATATCCAATTTAAGGACTTTATTGGATCTTTCTACTAACACCCAGAGTTGGAATCGATGAAATGGGAGTTACTTGATTGATATGGCTTTTTGGATGCTTTTGTTAGGTTTTGGTGGAAAATTGCTAAGGCTGTTATGTGCCTCTATTGACAGTAAATTTTATTTATTTATTTTTTTTTACCTGCTATTGTGTAGTAAGTTTTTTTTATGATTTTGAATTTCATGTCCATCCATATACATGTAAAATTATGTTCATTAATGCAAGCACTTCTAACTAAGATATGAATACCCGTGTTTGCATAACAAAGGACATCTTGCATCAGTCCAAAACTCAAAAAAAGGGTTTTAAAATGTTCTACAGACGTGTTGCATTTTATGATTGTTATCTCTTTTCAACCATTGGTCATTGAGTTGGGAGCTGACTATTAAATTTCAACTTATTGGATACTACTGACATCTATATCTATACTGCCAAATAGAAGGAAAGGAAAATGCCAAGTTGGTATCTTTTAAATTAGCCCGTGTTTATGTTTTTTTTTCTCTTTCTTCCTCTCTACTTTTCAATCTTCTCTTAACTCCCGACAAAACCCAATTGATGAAGAAAAGGTGTATAACTCTCTTATCATTTGGAAATAATTCCGTAACCCTCTTATATCTTGGCACGTATTCCACACTTGTTGACTTGGACGAACGGCCACAAATTACAAGGGTTTGTGTTTATTTCCAAATGACAAGAAGTAAACTGTGCACATACAAAAACCACAAGGGATAAAGTGAAATTTAACTTTAATTTTTAATTTTAGTTTTATTCTATTAAATTATATAAATATGAAAACATGAAGACTTCTAATGAAAAAAACAAAAGGCAAATTACACTCACCTCCCCTGAAGTTTGGACAAACTACAGTTAACCTCACATTTTTTATATAATTACAATGACCTCCCTTGAGATTTTAGTACACATAAAAGCTAGGCCTTTTTCATCAATAATTTGTTAAGTTTTATGAATAAAAAAAATATATTTTTATCTCTTTTCAACTATAATATATATATTTATCTTTATTTATTTCATTGTCAATCCACCATTTGCATTAGTTTTAGTGACTTTGGCCTTACTAAAAAAGAGTTAAATGTAATTATGTCAAAAGTGCTGGTCTAATTGTATTTTCCCCAAAGGTGAGTGTAATTTACCCCCTCCCCTCCCAAAAAAACAAAATTTCTATTTCTTGATGAAACTCTACCGATCTACACAAAACAAAACAAGGAAATAAAAAAATAACAGCAATCACAATCACGATCGGAAATACATGAGCAGAACAATACAAACAAAACGAGCCAAATAGAGGAATCTAACGACATATAACTCGCAATATCATACACTACATCAAAGAAAAACACGAAAATGCTTGAATTCTAACATAGATCTACAGATTCCGTACCTTGATTTCTGAAAGAATCGAATCGATGGTGGCAAATTTCCTTGGGACAGCAATCGGAGAATACACTGGTCCAAGGAAATTTCCTTCGATTGAGTCACTCAGTGGTCCTTCGCCGTGAATGGGAGGAAGGTTCAATCGTGAATCAATGGTGAACAAGAGTGGTATGGTTGGTAGGCCTTAAATTGAAGTCAAACTCAGACTAATGAATAACGGATATTGCGGGTCATAAATTTTTCCTCATCAGAGAATCGCGTTTTATACGGAAACGTATTTTTTTCTTCTCTTTATTATTTTTTTTCGAATTTTATCTTTAAATTACCACTCAAAAATCAATCACATTCGAATTTTCCAAGTTTAATTTTCTAAAAGTTAATTTTTGTATTTTTTATTTTTAGTAATTTTTTTAATTTTTAAATATAACTAACCTACGTATGCCTAACAAATAAAATATATAAAAATATATTGAATGATAAAGAATAAGGATTTTTCTTAAGTGTACCTTGCATATGGTATGCAAGGCACTTACGATATTTGCATTTACACCTTCTTAAGTGTGCATTTATAACATATGCAAGGCATTTACACCTTGCACATAATGTGCAACCTTAAGAGGATTGCACACTTAAACATTACCCAAAGAATAATGGTTGGTCTTAAATTGAAGTAAAACTCACTGTAACTGTCTAATGAATTCCGTGTCATCAATTTTTCCTCATGGGAGAATCGCGTTTTATACGGAAACATATCGTGGTGATTTGAAAATTTGGTAAAAATTTAATTTTTTGGTTTTTTAAGTTTATTTTATTTTTTTGTAGATAGAAAATGTGAGAGGTAATGTGATCCACAATAGATAAAAAGCTAAAAGTTCACTTTTTATTTTGTTTTCAAAATATTTCTTTTTTTAATTTTTTTTCTTTATTATTTTTTTCGAGAAAATATCATTTTGTTTTTCAATTAGGGATTTTTTTTAAAATTCCTGGTATTAAGATTTTATAACATAAAAAACACTCAATATTTTCATAATGTCTAAAGTCTCTCAACATCGATCCAAAGAAAATTCGATCCAGAGAATTTCTTTGAACAAATCGCAGAAAAAATTTCAAATTTCTCTGGACACATCACAGTAAAAATTTCAAATTTCTCTGGACAACAATGAGGACTAGTGCTCTGCTTCAAAGAAAATTGGGTTGGTCCAGAGAAATTCTCTGGTTTAGACCGAATTTTCTCTGGGTTGGTCCAGAGAAATTCTCTCTGGACACATCACAGAGAAAATTCTAAATTTCTCTGAACAACAATGAGAACTAGTGCTCTGCTTTAGAGAAAATTAGGTTGGTCCAGAGAAATTCTCTAGTTTTGATTGAATTTTTTCTGGGTTGGTCCAGAGAAATTCTCTGGTTTAGACTAAATTTTCTCTGGTTTAGTCTAGAGAAATTCTCTAGTTTGGATTGAAATTTCTCTAGATTGATTTGAGGGACCTTAGACATTCTCTCCAGATGCCATCATTGAACAGGCCACCTGGGATTCATCTAAAGTGCGAGATAAATTTCGGCGTGATATAGATGCTCATGTTGATACAGTTTATGCTGCCAAGCTGTCTGAAGTTACAACCCAATATGCAATATTTTAATCTATAAACTTTGGATTGCTTAGTTCATCCAGAAAGTGTCCTTTTATAGTGACAAATTTTGAGTCAAAATAGGAACAAGCGTCGATATGATCCCATACACAGTGGTTATGTGATCACTTATCATTACTTGCTAATTGTTTTGATCAACTGTAATCAAGTGCAGTTATTCATGCAAATGGCAAAGCTGGATATATCTAGGGACTTCAAAAACTTTTTAGAATCTTGTCTATTTATTAGTCAGTCTTCTTTGTAAGGAACTTATATATAATACTAAAAATTTGCAGAAAAAATTGAGCGAGGCATTATTAGGACCTGTGGATGCTCTTTTAGACGAAGCTGGTGATGATACCTGGCCAATAATAAGGAAACTTCTTCGTCGTGAGACGGAATCAGCTGTCTTTGGATTATCTGCAGCACTTTTTTCTTTTGACATAGATGAACAAACCAAAGATAAGATGCTCAAGAGTTTGGAGGATTTTGCAAGAGGAATTATCGAATCAAAGGCAAAAGAAGAAGCTGGAAGAGTTCTATTCCATATGAAAGACATGTCACGCCCCCACTTTTTATTACTCGAATTCTATTACCAAAACCATTATTATAAATTCAATTTCAGAGATAGCATACAGAAGCTCGCTAAATTTACAAGGAATACATGAATAATAATTCTCTCATTCGAATATAAAATGAATGCAACAGGAGTATACCCAAATAAATTGCCCCGAAAGCTTACATCTTAAAAAGTAGATAAAGGGCTTAACCCTTTTACATAATAGCACTCCGCCCACAAATAAAAGGCCCCGTGGCCGACAAATAAAGAAGATCCGTAACCTTAAAACACTCCTCCATATTCACCTGAAAAAAATTAGCAACATGGGATGAACATAATGTCTAGTAGGAATCTCAACATGATCCTAAACAATAACAACCTATAGATAGTTATGATCATGAATGCTTAGTCTCATACTGTATAAATAATGTGATTGTTTATACAGAAATATACACATATAAGTACTTTTCTCAAAATCATTCATTTCATTCCATAACGTAAGCAATTCACCCTTCTTTCTTCTTATTACCTTTTTACCAAGACTTATATGACAGTAACAAATTTTTGAAAATAAGAATTTCACCACAAACCTTTTACACTTTCTCAAACTTTTAGACTTGCACCTGATTTGACTTTTCAAAAACATGTTCACGAATATCTGATATCTTTCACATTACTTACAATCTCAACACATTACTCACGTCTACTTCCCACCCACTCATGCCCATGCAAGTATACCTTTAGTACAAAAGGAAAACACAACAAGCATCCAATAACTATATACTTCTACAATTTAGGCAATTCGACCTTCCAAAAGCCACAGCCATCATAACACATAACATACTCAAGTATACCGAAGCAACAATAATAAATAAATTTCGCTTTACCTGCCTCAAGCATGGTAAGTCAATGACACATCTTTCCACAATGAAATGCCAATTTACCAGACAGCGGCTGGAAGGTAATGATACATATGTCAATTCTCCAGGCGCTAGCTGAAAGGTAATGGTACCTCTCATTCTCAGTGCAACCAATTCTCCAGGTGCTAGCTGGAATGTAATGGTACCTCTCATTCTCAGCGCATTACATATTTTCCAACCATCACTTTATACAACATTTATAGATAACTCAAGTGTACTATAGACACATAATCGTTTCAACATTCACAATGTCATCCTCCACCGATGACCAAGGACAAAACCTCTAAGCAATATGTATTAAATGCACGAAATACAATCATTCGATTCTTCTGAAGTATTAAGTTCAACGATACAATAATGTTCCAAGGTTTTCAACTTTTACCAAGGTTCTTTCTTAATTTGTAAAAGAGTCAATTTCCAAACTCAATTTCCAATACACCAATTATATACATACATATGTATATATAAAATAAATGAGACTCATTTCCTTCGTTCGACCAAAAACTCAACCCACGGATAACAAGGTCCTAATCCGCTCAATTTCAACTCAACAAGGGTTTTACCCAAAATTCCTAATCTCATGGTTAAATCCCCTTTTTAACAATTAACAAATTATCAATTTGTTATATTTAACTATAATCAACCCGACACAAAGTAAATGTTAGAATCCTAAGACCCAATTTAATCACAAATAAATTACCAAGTCATTAATCAAATTCTTTAATTCATAACATAATTATCTCACTATTTCAACCATTTTCACCTATTAAGCATTACTACAAAACAATGAGGACTTTACTTCTATCTACCCATAACATGTTAAACCACTTTTCCCCAAATTAACCCAACAACAATCTATTTTCCAAATCTCAACCTTACACATCAACACTTAGATCCCCTTTTATGATTTTCCAAAAAGATCCATAACAACATGGTTTTTATGCAATAGAATATACCGCATGTCTATCTGTAAGAGAGATATTGAAAAAGATCAAGAAATCCCTACCTTAAAGAGAGAAGAGAAGAAAAGACCAAAAATCAACTTTGCCGGAATTCGATCTCCACCGGTCAAAACAAAGCCCTCAGTATGCTCATCATTTTGATAGAAGGAACTAGTACCAAAATCCCAATAGATTCTTGGAATCAAAAGAAAATGCAAAGTTTTGAGGGTTTGGGTAGAGAGAGGTGAGAGAATAAGTGAGAAAAATTGTAGAGAGAGAGAAACATAATCAGAAATGAGTGAAAAAGGGGCAAAAGATGAATACATAGCTGTAATGCACAAAAAATAAGGCAAAACATGCGCCTGGCCGCACGTGCGGCGCCCTCTCCCGCACGTGCGGCTCTCACCCCCGCACGTGCGGTCTCTCCCATACCTCCATTTTCGTACCTGCCTTTTATACAGTGTGCACATAGCCCTCTCCCCTACTTCCCGTACGTGCGGCCCCTCTCCTGCACGTACAGCCCAAGGCCTTGTACGTACGGCTCTAACCTTCCAGCCCCAAAAAACCTTGGCTTCTCCCCCGACACTCCAGAGTAGACCTCGCACCCTCCGGGACAAGTGAAAACTCGAAATTTGAAACAAACAAGAACGGAAAAAATTATGTGGAGAAGTTCTCAAAAACAACGAACCCAACTATTGACTGGACCACACTTTGAAACCCAATACTTTAACGAAGGCAAATCCGACATAACTCAAAAGAACAAGGCAACTCACGTACCAGTCATCACAGGACAAGTAGTTGGGTCGTTGTTGCATTTGAGATTTAAATTTCTTACAATAGCTCGATTCAATTGTTTCAACCTATAGGTTATTGAAATTGACTACAAAACCACCCACAGATTTTCAACAATATTTAGCCATGATTCTGATTCGACGGCATGGTAGAGATAAAGGCGAAGGCGAAGATCGGAATGTGCACAAAGAGAGAGGGTTTGGTTTGAATAGAATGAAGATCGGAGAGAGAGAGAGAGAGAGAGTCAAATTTCTCTAATATGATATATGGGTGTGGGTTTAGGGACCGTAGACATCAAAAAATAATATTGTGGATCTCTTCCATTACTAAAAATGGGAGAGGGACCTTAGACTAATTTTCCCTTTAAATTATTACTCAAAAATCAATCATCTTGTTTATTTCTAATTTTTTGAGTTTAATTTTCTAAAAATTAAATTTTTTTTTTGTTTTTT